ATATATTCTTGCTTTTTTCTGCCATAAATGATATCAGAAAATAAGAGTTTTCCTCTTTATAGTTCTTTAGAGACAATTTCAAAATATTGTGATATTCACATAAAATTTCTTTTTGCCGAGTACTAAATTACTGAAAGGTACTGCCAAAAAGTTAATTCCCAAACAAGAGATCAAACAAAATCCCTCAAGAAAAGCGGCCGGAGGGGGGTCCATAATTTTCAAGCCAGTGCACAATGTTGCAACAAATTATTTAGTCTCCTCTTTTCGTTTTTTTTCTTTTTTTCTTTTTTCTTTTTTTTTTTTTGCTGGAGAAGTCCTCATTATTATGCTAGTACAAAATCAAACTCCTACCATGACCAAAAAATACTCGTTGTTATATCACAGAGAATGAAATCTAACTTGTAATTCAATAAAATAAAACATAAATTGTCCTTTGGGGGGGGGGGGGGGATTTGTCACCTCTTGTAGCTTGCTTTCTTCAAATCTGGTTAGAGATTAGGGTCCTCTTAAATAGTTTCCTTTTGTCCTTTTGTGAGGCACATTTCTTCCCTTTTCCCTTTGTTTTCTCGTGTACATATTTTTCCATTATTAATTAATGTTAAAGTATTAAACTATTGTTGGCCCACCTCCTAACAGCTTAAGCTTTTGGGATGGATTGGTAACTAACATGGTATCAGAGCGGGAGGTCCTGAGTTCAAACCCCCGTAATTGCACTCTTTATCCCCATTTAAATTGTAATCATGTGTTGGGTCTTTAATATATTTCGGACTTAAATATTCACGTGTTGGGCTTTCCAATTAATTTACCCACACGATTACTCATTGTCCAGCCCACACGTGAGGGGGAGTGTTAAAGTATTAAACTATTGTTGGCCCACCTCCTAACAGCTTAAGCTTTTGGGATGGATTGGTAAACTAACAATTAATAAAAGTTCCTTGTTTAAAAAGAAACATAAAACTTTTTATTGGCAGAAGTCATATTATACCTGTTTACAGCTGTTAGAATCCCTAATTTATGTGGGATCAATCGGCTATCATCTTTTTGACTTTTTTGTCGCAGATTTTTTTGTCTGTAATTTACTCCGTGTCGCCTATCTACGTCATTTGTTCACTATAGTCGCCGTTGTTCAAAAACAGTAGTCGCCGCCCAGAGGTCAAAACTAAGAGTTAAAAAAAAAAAATGTCTAAAAAAAATGATTCAGCCTGCTGTTACTTTGTTGGTTCAAGCAACTACACTTTCCACTCTATGAATGTTGCTAGTCTTTCAAGTCAATCTTGGATCATAGACTCTAGAGCATCTAATCATATGACTGGTCATTCATCATATGACTGACCATTCAAACTTTTATACATTCTATATCCCTTGTTCAGGAAGGCAAAAGGTGAAAATAACAGATGGCTCGTTATCATCAGTTGTAGGAAGAGAGCGTATTCCTATATCAAAAAATCTCTTTCGCCTCTGTCTTACATGTTCCTAATCTTTCTTGTAATCTCCTTTCAATCCACAAGATTACCAAAGACCTTAATTGTGTTGCCATTTTTCTTTTCCCCAAATCACTGTGAATTTCAGGACTCGCGCTCGAGAAAGGTAATTGACATTAGAAAGGAGTTTCAAGGGCTTTACTACTTCGAGAGTGAATCTATTGGTTCAGGTAATCTGCTACATACACACTTCAGCTCTTCCATTAATTCTAATTAAGCAATTGATCTTTTGCACAAAAGATCAGGTCATCCAAATTTTCCATACCTAAAAAGAGTGTTTCCTGCATTATTCAAAAATAAAAATGTTGATAATTTTCAATGTGAGGTTCTCCAGTTATCCAAACACCATTAGGCTCATTTCCCAGCACAAATGCACAAAGAGTCAACCTTTTTCTCTCATACATAGTGATATTTGTGGACCTTCACGTGTTGATAATGATTTTAGGGCTAGGTGGTTCATCACCTTCATTGATGATCATATTCGTGTAAGCTCGGTCTATTTACTCAAACATAAATATGAAGCTGCAGACATTTAGACTCAATTTCAAGCCAACCATCAAATTCTTTGAACAGATTATAGGAGAGAATATTTTGCCTCAATCCTTGGGTCCTATTTGACAGGTCATGGAATGGAACTGTAGGTCATAGTTCTTGTGTTGATACACCCCAACAAAATGGGGTTGCTAAGAGAAAAAACACGCATCTTCTTGAGGTTGCTAGAGCCTTATTGTTTACCATGGGAGTACCCAAAAGTTTTTGGGGTGAAGCCATTCTTACTGCAACCCATCTTATCAATAGAATGCCATCAAGGATCTTGAATTTCAAAACACCACTTGACACTCCCAAAAATAAATATCCATTATCCAAACTTTTTAGTTCTCCTCCACCACCCAAAGGTTTTGGCTGTGTAGCATTTTTTCACATACATGATCATAAAAGAGGAAAATTGGATCCAAGGGCCCTTCGTTGTGTTTTCTTAGGTTATTCTCCGACTCAAAAGGGGTACAAGTGTTATCATCCTCCTACAAGAAAATTCTTCATCTCTATGGATGTCACCTTTTTGAAAACACTCCTTTCTTCACCAAAACTTCTCTTCAAAGGAAGAGTCAACGTGACAGACAACATGATGAAGATCCATTTTGGTCTCCTGTTATCAATTCATTGCCATTTCCCAATACCATTCATGAGTCATCTGTTGTTCCCAAGTCGTCTCCATCTATTGTTCCAATACCATTCATGAGTCGTCTGTTGTTCCCGAGGCGTCTCTATCTATTGAAACTTTCTCGTCATCTCTTGAGAATTGTCAACCCACGCCTCCTCTTTCTGTACCCTCTCACGTACCTCATGAATCTGTTACCTTTGAGGTTCCACAGCTTTCATCTCTAATTCCAACTCCATTCGAGTGTGTAAGAGATAGAGATAAAGAAGCAATAGTTTATTCAAGAAGGAACAAGACACAACCTCCTCAACAACACCAATTGCCTGAACCAAGCGCAAAGATTCTGGAGTAATTCTTCAGTTCCTAATATTTGTAGGCAACTTGACTTGACCAATCTTCCTGATCTTTCTGATGTTGATATCCCAATTGCTAATAGGAAAGGTGTTAGATCTTCTAATATGCACCCTATTTCAAGCAATGTCTCATATCAAAAAGTATCCCCAATTTCTAAAGCCTTTGTTGCTAATTTGTCTTCTTGTGAGCCTATCCCAAGTATCATACAGGAAGCCTTTTCTACTCCAAAATGGAAACATGCTATCTTTAAAGAAATGAGTGCGTTGATAAAGAATGATAGATGGGAACTTGTTGATCGTCCTTTAGGAAGGAGACCAGTAGGATGCAAATGGATGTTTACAGTGAAACACAATGCAAACGGGACAGTTGAAAGATAAAAAGCAAGACTTGCCGTAAAGGGATTTACGCAGACTTACGGTGTTGACTACCAAGAAACTTTTGCTCCAATTGCCAAGATGAATTCAACTTGATGAGAAGAATGCATTCTTGTATGGAGACTTAGCAAAAGAAGTGTATATGGAGCTAACACTAAATTCTGAAGATGTGTTTGGACAAGAAAAGGTGTGCAAGCTGAAGAAGTCCTTGTATGGACTAAAGCAATCGCCCAGAGCATGGTTCAAGAGGTTCACCAAGGCAATTGGTCGTTTTGAGAACACTCAGAGCCAAAGGGATCATACCTTGTTCTACAAACACACTAAAAATGGGAGCATCACAGTCTTGATTGTTTATTGTTACTGGAAATGATATTGGTGAAATGAAAAGACTAACGGAATGCTCACCAAAGAATTCGAGATCAAGGATTTAGGAATGTTAAGATAATTTTTTGGGTATCGAGGTTGCAAGATCAAAGGACGGGATATTTCTATCACAGAGAAAGTATGTCTTAGATCTTCTCAAAGAAATAGGAATGTTGGGTTGCAAGCCAGCAAAAACTCCAATTGATCCAAAATACAACTTAGAAAGTACAATGGAAATGTTGCAGTTGACAAAGGTCGAGATCAGAGATTGGTTGGTAAATTGATATACTTGTCTCATACTCAGACAGACATTAAGCAATTAGCGTAGTGAGTCAGTATATGCATTCTCCTTGCAAAGTCCATATGGAGGTTATTATGAAGATTCTACAGTACTTGAAAAGCTCGCCTGAAAAAGGACTACTGTTCTCAAAGAATCATCATCTCCAAATAGAAGCTTACACATATGCCAACTGGGCTGGTTCTGTGAGCGACAGAAGGTCCACATCTGGGTATTGTACTTTTATTGGAGGAAATTTGGTTACTTGGAGAAGTAGGAAGCAAAATGTCGTGGCTAGATCAAGTGCTGAAGCTGAGTTTAGAGCAACGGCACAAGGAATTTGTGAGTTGATATGGTTGAAGATTTTACTAAGTGAACTACGAGTTGTCACATAAGAAACAATGAAACTTTACTCTAATAATAAGGCTGCTATCAACATTGCTAACAATCGCGTACACCATGACAGAACCAAGCACGTTGAAATTGACAGATATTTTATCAAGGAGAAGATATTTAATCGAGAAGATTGAAAGTGGTGAAATTTGTATTACATTTGTCACAAGTGGAAATCAACTAGCTGATATCCTGACTAAAAGGATTGACTCGACCTATGTTTCTTTCATGCATTAGCAAGCTAGGTATGATGCATATTTTTCAACCATCTTGAGGGGGAGTGTTGGCAGATATCATATTAGTTGTTTACAACTGTTAGAATCCTTGAATATGTGGGATCAATGGGCTGTCATTTTTTTAATTTTTTTGTCTATGTACTCTTATTCATACGGCTATATATAACCTTGTAATATAGTTGAGAAAAGATACAATAAGATAAATAATTTCCTCACTCTTCAACGAATGACCTACTATGCCATTGTTATCTACGCCTGAATTGCACAAAAGTGAAAACCACAATGAATAGTCGTGGATCAAATGTTAGTCTCATACAAAGAATAGAAGTACATAAAACAGTGTTATTCCTGCAATAGTTTTACCTTCGAAGCATGTGAAATGGCCAGATGTTTGATAAGTCTTCTTTGCTCCCATCTTTTTCAGGTTCTCCCTGTAAATTATTTTGATACGCGATTCAGATTTGTATTCATCGAAGGCTTCATGGCAACAATAGGATGTCATTGAAAAGATCTTCGGAGTGAAGTACCTTGGAAAGAATGTGAGATGACACAACCCCATCCCATTCAGGATTTTTTGTGTCCAGAAGGACAAGGACTATATCAAATCTGCTTAATAAGGGACCAGAGAGTGTTGTATTAACAGATAGAGCTAGAAAAAAGAAAACAACAAAAAAGCAAATATTAGTCTCATTGGAATAGAAAGTAAACTGAATGAAACCAGCCAATTGACAGACAAATTAGAAAAGCATATTGATAAAATACCATAACTCTTTTCAAAAGGCCCTTCCACAAAATAGTGGGAAAATTAAAGTGCTCAACACAGAGTTAAAATTCTAATGGACTACATAAATAAACACAATTGACATTATCATTTGACAGAAGTAATACATTGATCGGGATCATAATGTCCCTTTGGATTTGTTGCACCAAATACAATTGTCCTCGTACTGAGAGTTGTCACAAGACCAGCCTGAAAACAAGGGAAGTCAAATGATTGGAAAATATATTAGAAGCAATCATCAAGAATCCTGTAAGACTTTAGACTTCTACAAACATGAATATGGAAAAGAGTAAGAAGCAGTCTGTCAAATTAAAAATGCATACTTGCTTTCTTTGATTTTTGTTCATTTTGGACCTCTTGTTCACTTTATTGTACTCGTTCTTTTATTAATAAAAGCTTGTTTCTCATTAAACAAATAAAATGCATACTCAGGCCTTTGCCACATCAATCACAGTGATCACTTGGTGATACAATCCATTTACAGAAAAACGAGACTTTACATGACCCATTTAATAGACACATATCAAGATGCACAAAAATGTTTGTAGGAGGAAGACATAGAGTGAGCATATGTATGAAGGAACCATAATAATACAAGTACTTGTATTCATTTACTTCTAATCAACTTTTTGATTCATGTACAAGCTTTTGGTAAAGATACATTGTTGATTTTTCTTTTCTTTTCTTTTTTTTTTTTTGATACGGTGTGGGGTTTATGGCTCCCACTTTACCCAAGAAATGAAACCGCAAGGATTCGAACCCTAGTGGACACAGGCGAACACTCATGCACCCAGCCTCTAGAGCTAACCTCAAGTGGTGTTGAATAAATTATACATAGAATACTTATAGCCCATCTGGTTTGCAGGTTTGAACCTCAAAACAAATATGAATGCTAAGAGCATGTAAAGTCTGTGAAGCTCCAATGTAGTGATTAAACTTCTTCTTTCCTCTATCCTGTGATGTAGTTTAGAATTCACGGAACATACAAATGTCCAGGAAGACATAGAAGCCACTGGACTATAGTGAAAGAAACAAAAGGTTATATATCTCAAATAAATTTATAAATACTCTGCCTTTATCTTGATTGCTCAGTTCGTATGCATTAAGTAACACTAAGTTTTAGCTCTGCAGACTGTTGTTAGAAATTAGCTATCATATCTCTTTTGAAACTTAGAAGACAAAATATAAAAATAAATAAAATAAAATAAAATTCTTACGCATGTATGAGAAAAAGACTGGATTTGAAATCTAAGCAAACCTGCATATCCTACAGATTAAAGGGGGATTAATCATGGAAGAAAACAAGAATTACTTTTTTGTTTCAATCAGAGGACTCCTTGTCCTCCTTGTTGGTGTTATTTGTAAATTTTTTTTTTCTAATTACGTATTGTTTCTTTTCAACAATGTGTGTTTGTGTGTGGGAAGAGAACAGATAAAGAAACAAACGGAGCACAAATAGAAGTCCTATTATATTTTGGTTGTGAATTTTAAACAATATCTGCAATAAATTATTCAAAATAAATCATAAGAGAATATTACCTTGGCAACACTTATAGTTTGCTGTTCCATTGCTTCATGTATCGTTGCTCTATCATGTTCTCTCATGCTGTCATAGAAGTAATATTAGCTTCGTACTGTAGCAAGAACAAAGGGAATCAACATTTTTTCAGGTGAAGAACAAAATAAAAATATAAATGAATTATTGCAGATTCCATAATTGCACTAGGGTGTGTGTCCATCTGATAGGACCCGTTAATGATAGGCTTGGGAAGTAGGCTTGGGAAGTAAGCTTGGGAAGTTAGCTTGGTTAATAGGCTGTTTGAGTATCATAGTAGAGGCTGTTCAAGCGTTACTGATTAGTAATAGTGGCCAGTAGTTTGTTAGAGGGGGATTAGTAGTATAAAAGGAGAATTAGCAACAGCTGTGGGAGGATGGTCAGAGTTACGGGAAATTGGGGGAACCCTTGGGTGAGTTGGTGGTCTCTTGAATACCACCATTGTTAGGGCTTGTAGGATTATATTCAAATTCATCAATCTTGATTCCACTTTTCAGTTCATTTTCTTTGTTTCTTTTAGAGCCTTGTCACTGTCCCTCTCCAGTTTTTATAAGTTTTTCTTAAAATTTTCAAAATGCTATATCTTTATAAGAACCATGGTACATGTATATATCTGTTTGTATCATACATTTAATAAGCTTTCCCCTTGAAACCTTACTGATGACAAATAACCAAATGCAACAGCTTAAAAGATAGTTGGCTAGAGTTAAAGGCGAAGCGACCTAAAAATAACTTTTGAAAGGACACGGCTGGAAGTTGAGGACATCATAAAGAAACAAATTAGAGAATTAGGCATTGGATACTGTCACTGTGAGACAATAATTCGCCACATAGCAAGTCCTACTTGAAATGACTTGCAACAGCAAAGACGATAAAATATTTCATGTAACAGAAGTAACAGTTGCACTTTAGTGAAGGTTGTTGCAAAAGAGAGTTATTCTGCTTCTATAAGATCCCTATTGAACTATTAAACCACTTAAAAGACCTACAATTACTGATTTTCAGTAGCCACAACCTGAGTTCCTCTGTTTTTTTTTTTTTTCTTCCTGAAGTGACATAGGAAAGTTATGAAAGAGACAATTTGCTGATAACACATTATTTGTCGGCCAAATTTTATAAATTCCACCTGAGTTTTATCACTTGTGCAATATGCCCCCTAAACTTTCAAATGTGCATGTTGTGCCCCCTGAACTTTGTAACTTGTGTCAAGTGTAAACATGCCCCCTGAGTCTAACACCATCAAGTTTTCTAACGGAAATGCTTATATAAGTACCCCCACTTTATCACTTATGTTAATATGCCCCCTAAACTTTAAAATGTACATGTTGTGCTTCCGAAATATGATATGTCTCTAACTTTTTTCTCCTTCCATCTTGATTCTATCAATTTTTTAAACTGAAATGTTTATATGACTATTAAATTGCTAATTAGTTATTGAATGCCTTCTCCTCCAAAAATATTAGTTAGGCAATAATTCTCAAACCATTTAGTTGATTAAAGGCAATAAAGAGGGAAAAAATGAGGAACAAATTTGTATAATGGAATGGGTTTTGTTAGTTTTTTCTTAACTTAATAATATTTGCCCTAGATAGAAGTGCTCGAAATAAAACGTGATTTTTTAAGAATTCAACACAAACGTTGAGAAACCCATTAACTTAACAAACCTTAAGAAAAAATCTTCACCATAAAAAAAGGAAACAAAACAAACACGTAATACAAAATTCAAGAAAAATCTATCATCTATATTGAGAAACCTATTAATTTAATAAACCTATCCCAATGAAAAAAAAAAAAAGAAAAAAAACTAAAAAATTAACAAACCCATTACCTTATGTAGATTTGCTCCTCAATTTTTTCCCTCTTTATTGCCTCTAATCAACTAATGTTCTGAAAATTGTTGCCTAGCTTATATTTTTGGAGCGAAAGGCAATCAATAAATCCTAAATATCATAGCTAATTAGCAATTTAATGGTCATATCAACATTTCCATTTAAAAAATTGATAGAATCAAGATGGAGGAAAAAAAGTTGGAGACATATCCTGTCTCGAACGACACAACAGGTACATATTAAAGCAGGGGGCATATTGACACAAGTGACAAAGTTCAGGGGGCGTTATAAGAATTTCTGTTAAAAACCTTGACGGAATTAAATTCAGGGGGCATGTTGACACAAGTGACAAAATTCAGGGGGCACAACATGCAAATTTTAAAGTTCAAGGGGCATTTGACACAAGTGACAAAGTTCATAGGGAATTTATTAAATTTATCCTCATTTTTCAGTTCATCGGAGGAAAGCTTGTCAAATTTATCTACTATTTTGGAAATAATTTTGTTTAATATCAGGCCTGAAAATAAATTTGGATAAAAGCATTATTCTGGGTATATATTTGGAGGAAGACAGGTTGTCTAGACTGGCAGGTGTCATTGGTTGTACAGTTGGTTCAGGACCAGTCAAATATGTGGGGTTATGTTGAAGATATGAATATTCGGTATCAATTATACCGAATATGGAAGATATTGGACTGATCATAGGAGATTAAGTCAACGAGCCTAATTGAAGAAGATTAGGAAAGTAGTGATTAGAATTGATTTTGTACAGTAATTAACATTCCATATTTACTAGTCTTTCCTAGAATAGTTTTCCTCTATAATTAGTATTTAAGGAAATGTTGTACACCTACTGAAAATACAATTTTTATAATTCTTTCTTCTCTATATTTCTCTAGATGGTATCATAGCGTTGATCCCTTTTGCTCAACCCTAGCCGTCATCTTACAACCCTAGCAGTCCTTTGAACCCTAGTCGTTCCAACCATCCTTTCATCATGTCTGAAACAATGTCAGAGTCCACAAATACCACTGTAAACCAGTCAAAACCCACTGAAACTGATGCATCCAAACCTCATGTCCCTACCCATGATTCCTATTCTGTCCAGATTACTACAATACGATTGAATGGGGAAAACTTTCTGCGTTGGTCACAATCTGTGCGCATGTACATCTACGGGAGAGGGAAGATTGGTTACTTGACCGGAGAAAAGAAGGAACCAGCCCTGGAAGATCCTTCTCATCCAACTTGGGACGCTGAAAACTCTATGGTGATGACGTGGTTGGTGAATTCCATGGAGGAAGAGATCAACTCCAACTACATGTGTTATCACAGTGCTAAGGAGCTTTGGGACAATGTCAACCAAATGTACTCAGACTTGGGAAATCAGTCCCAAGTGTATGAATTAACACTGAAACTCGGAGAAATCCGCCAAGGTGAGGGAAGTGTCACAAAATACTTTAATTCTTGGAAACTTTTGTGGTAGGATCTAGACCTATTTAGTGATTATGAGTGGAAATCTCCTGAGGACTGCAACCACTATAAGAAAACCTTGGAGGATAATCGTATTTTCAAATTCCTTATTGGACTCAATGTTGAGTTTGATGAGGTTAGAGGGCGAATAATAGGCAGACAGCCCCTTCCATCCCTTGGAGAAGTTTTTTCTGAGGTTCGTAGAGAGGAAAGCCGTAGACTTGTCATGCTTGGTAAGAAAATACCAGGCCATAATGTCGAAAAACTCTGCTCTTGCCACTGCCACTGCCGAGGCACATGCTGGACGCTTTAATCCTCGAAAAACTGAGGAGAAACCTCGCGTGTGGTGTGATCACTGCAACAAGCCACACCATACACGTGAAACATGCTGGAAGCTTCACGGGAAACCAGAAAACTGGAAAGGGAAACATGAAGGCAGATTCAATTCCTCACCTGCTGCACATGAAGCCGCGGCTATCCCATTTAGCAAGGAGTAGGTTGATCACATTCTTAAACTGCTGAAATCCAACTCGGTATTATCGGGTACTCCTAGTGCTTCTCTTGCTCAAACAGGTAGAGAATCAATTGCCTTATCTTGCTGTTTTTCCGATTCTGCTCCTTGGATAATAAATTCAGGAGCTTCTGACCATATGACCAATTTTTCTCACTTATTTGACACTTATACTCCTTGCTCTGGCCATGAAAAAATTCATATAGCATATGGATCTTGTAGAAAGGAGCCGATTAGGTTATATAGATTAGGATAGTGTTATTTGTGTAATCTGATAAATTAGGATTTTTTATTTAGCTTCCTAATAAATAGGATCAGTTATTGACTTGACTTATTCCTAATTTAGTTACTTTCCTAGTTTGTTGAGATTCCTAACTTTGTGGGATTCTCCTTTTATTTTCCTAGAATAAGTGGACTGGGATGCCGGCCACTTAAGTATAAATATTAGGGCTGTATTTCCTTGGGTTAATAAGAATTTCTCTTCACCGAAATTCTCATGGTATCAGAGCCGGATTCAAAACCCTAATCCACTCTATCGTCAATCTCTCATCATGACCAAATACGGCATGAATACCTAAACCAGTTCCTCGGAAGTCCAGTCAAGACCCGAGCATAATTCCCCAGCCATCAACGCTGATAATCCCTCAGCCAATATCATCGAAAACTCACCCCTTCCTGTTACCAGTCACAAACTCAGTGGCCACAATTTCCTTCAGTGGTCACAATTCGTCCTCATATATGTATCTGGCAGAGGAAAAGATGAGTATCTCACCGGTGAGGTTCCTGTTCCAGCGACAACAGATCCCAAGTATCGTACGTGGAAAACAGAAAATCACATGGTTATGTCATGGCTAATAAACTCCATGACCACAGAAGTTGGAGAGAATTTCCTTCTCTACAAAACAGCCAAGGAAATTTAGGATGCGGCACGTGAAACCTACTCCAGTTCTGAAAATACCTCAGAACTTTTTGAAATTGAAACTCGACTTCATGATATGCGACAAGGGGAGATGACTATCACTCAATATTTCAACACAATAACCCGGTACTGGCAGCACCGTGATATGTTTGAAATATATCCCTGGAAATGTCCTGATGATGCAGCTTTATACAAAAAGATTGTTGATCAAAAGAGAACATTCAAATTTCTCCTTGGTCTCAACAAGGATCTGGACGA